CCTGATTTTCCCCTCAGGCCCAGCAAGAAGTAAAAGAGGAATGCTAAGAAAAGAAAAGTAGAGGAAGGAAAGAGAAAGCATAGAAAGAGAGCCCAGAAGAAGAACTGGATCCACATTTGGCACCTATCAGGGGCACCCTCAGCACCGAGAAGGGGCAGGGACCGGACAGGGGTGGGCGACAGCTTTCCAGCTGCCTGAGTAGTGTTGTCACTGTGTGGTTTCATTATCTGGCTTCTTAAGTTGTGAATTCATATCACCGTTAGGTGTGGATAATTGAGAGTTCTCAAATAGAGACAAAGAACCACCATGTGCGCATTTCAAATAAGGTATGTTCAGTCAGAGCAGGCATATCGATACATTACCAGGTGCTCAATACTAACTTAGCCCAAACCCTTAACAACTTGAATCCAACTTATTATGAAGCAAGGACCGAAAGGTCTCTCAGGCTGTTTCAAGTTGAAAATTCTATGATAGTGGAGTTCCTTTTATAAATTCTAAGTAAAGCAGAGCAGATTCCTAGGGCTGTGTTAAGGGCATAAGTCCTTCTGGTCTACCTGGGCAGCCCTGTTTTGTGACAACCTACACCTGCTGGTTTTGATGGTGCAGTGCAGTGAATTACTTAATATGGTCCTTTTAACCATGCATGGTCTTGTGACTCCCACCAAATGATTGGGTGGGACTATGCAAATAAGGTGCTTGTGGCCCACCAAGGGATTGGACAGCTTGCTAATAATGCAAATAAGGTGCATGTCGCACTAGTGGGGGTGGGGCCATGCAAATAAGGTGTATGGAATCCTGACGAGGGGATTGGTCAGTTTTACCTTCCCACTAGGCTTAAAATGAGCCATCCCAAAGCAGAAGGGGGGAGCTTACTACCACCCAGAAGAAGTGATGGGAGCAGAGTGCATCCTTTGGACCTGAGATCCCTGTGCTGAGAACCTCCTAGACCCAGGAGACAGAGAGAGCTGTAACACTGGAAACAGAGCAAGATGATGAGAATCAGCGGCAGAGAAGCAGTAGCAGCTGAACCAGGATACTGGCAAGAGGCAGCGCAGTGGGCTTGCCGGCCCAAGGAGCTAGGCAGTTATGGTGGGTGTGCCAACCCATGGAGCAAGAGAGCTGAGCGCCTTTGGGCCAAGGCTTATTGGTGGAGTACAGTTCTCCCAGGCACCTATTGGCGGAGCTAAAGAGCTTTCTAACACTTGCCCAAGCAGGGCGGAGGCTGGGATGGCCCAAGAGGCCCAAGAGTCTCCAGAGGCCGAAGGCCAAGAGGTCAAGGGTCAGGGAGAGGCCTGCCTGTGGGCACAGCCAAGAAGCTGTCCTGACTGAAGAACTATATCCTGAGTCTTTCCTGAGCCTGAATTGTAACCTGTTACTTCCCTAGTAAACCCCATAACTGTGATTATGGTCTGTGAATTCTGTGTGGCCATTGCAAGGAATTATCAAACTTATCTGAGAAGAGTGCCGTGGGAGGGACGGCTGGTGCCAGAATTAGTAAAAAGGGTGGAGGTATGTCTAACCTCTGCCTCATGGAATCAGCCTTGGGCTGTTGATCTTGATTTTCGTTCCCCCTTGCGAAGTTAGAGGAGGTCTGACACCCAGCCAGACATTTTTACAGTAACACTTGACCCCAGCAGGACAAAGGCCAGGCCCGAGCAGGGGCCGAGGGCTGAGAGAGGAGGCTGTCCTGAGGGGTTGAGGGGAGCCTGTCCTCAGGAGGCTGAAAGGAGCCCTGCACAGCCAAGAGGAGCTGAGATCGCTGTCCTGCACTGAAGAAGGGAGACTTTGCCTACATGCTTCTTTATCGTGATCCTGATCCTGAGTTTTAGCCTGTTGATCCTGAGTTGCAACCCATTACTTCCCAAATAAACCCATAACCTTAAGTATGATCTGTGAGTTCTGTGTGGCCATTGCAATGAATTATGGAACCCAGCAGAGAAGTAGAGAGTGATGTAGGACGGATGGCTGGTGTCAGAATTGGTAAAAAGGTTGGAGGGCAGAGGTATGTCTGACCTCCACCTCATAGGAATCATCAGCCTTGGGCTGATGTTGATCTTGATTCTCTCTCCCCCTTGTGAAGTTAGACGAGGAGGTCGGATGAAGCCCCCATGCCATGAGTACAGATGGCAATTAAGGGAATCTTGTACATAGCTAGTATCATACTGTGAAGTGTTTTGAGAATTATTTGTAAATTACTGATCTCATACTTAACTGATGGACTTTATGAGGAAAAGCCATATTTAAGAAAAATATTTGATGTAATTAAAAGGTAATTCACATTTGAATAAGGTCTGTCTCCTCCATCCTCTAGGGTCTCTGTGAGTCAGAATCGACTCAAGGCAGTGAGTTTGGTTTGACTTTGGGTTTCTGTTGATTAGTTAATATTATTGTATCAATATAAATTCCCTAGTTTTGAGATTGTACTTTGTTTATATACTATATTCATATTTGAGAAAACTGAGTAAAGAGTATATGGTCTTTCTGTTTTTGTACTATTTTTTGAAATTTTATAGGCTGAAATTATTTCAAAATGAAGAGTTAAAATTTTTTTAACAATTTGATAGGTTAATTCACAGGGATTGGCAGTTTATCCATAATTTGTGCCCTGGCGGGCTGGACCCAGGAAAAAGTACCACTTCTACCTCTCTCCTTTGCTGACAAGGTGATGAAATTCACTGTAAGTCAGATGAAATAATGAATATGAATGTCCTTGCTAGAGTAAACTACACAAATCCTAATAGTAATAATTATAGTCCCCAGATGGAGGACTATAAGCAAAGGGGAGAGCATTCCATTATACTACAATTCCTACCAAATATTCTTCAAGCAGTTTGCAAAGTGCTTAGAAATTGCTGCCCCAGCGATAGGAAACGAGTCACTGAAGGGTTTTGCACGAAGCAGACAAAAAACAACAGTCATACTTTAGGAGGAGTCGTCCGTCAGGCCTTCGGTACACAGGATGGATGAAATGGGAAGAGACTGGACTCAGTAAATCACACTAGGAGTTATTCCAATGATGGAGGAGTAGGATGACCCTGTCTGAGTGGGCCTGGGAAGAAAAAAAACTGACATGAGAGGCTTTATGAAGGACTCATTGGTCTGGGCGGGACTTGACTGGAGATGGGAAGGAAGGAGAGAAATGAGTCAGTCAGTGGTTACTTAAGTGTCTCGCCGCGATGACTGGATGACTGTGGCAATGCTGGTATCACTGGGAGATGGATGGGAAATGTAAGGAGACTCCATAGAGCTTGAACCGCAAACTGAAGGGGCTCCAGGGGCCAGGCAGGTGCCAAGGGGAGAAGACAACAGTGGGGGCTGTGAGACAGGAAGGCTCACCTCTCTGTTGGGGGTACCTCAAAGGGAGTAGCCACTACCGGGTTCCAGCGGGGCCTTGCTGTGTGGGAATGCACTTGTAGTGTTATCAGATTTTCCATTTTTGCAAGGGAAGTCAGAAATCCAGATTTCTTGTGTGAAATCTCTTAACTCTTTAATGTTAGCTACTAATTTAAAAAAATTTTAAAGCATAGAGAGTGCCAAACCAAACACATCTGTGGGCCAGATTCCACAGGCAGGCTACCAAGTTGTGACCTCTGAGATAGAGAAAAGGGCAAGGGCCAAAGTTCATGAACTGTCATGGTAATACATAAGGCGACAAGTGACTGTAAAGGGATTCCATGACTCAAATACCATCAATAAAGCTTTTGCCAGCAATCAGAGCTGTATAAATGTCCCTACTCTTCAAACCTCTACAACTGATTTGAATTTATACAGGAAGTTTAAACTAATTCCCAAACGGTTAACTCACAAGAATTTGCGTGCTTGCAGTGTGCTGAGTACACAGAAGTCGAGGAATTTCAAATCTAACTGAAGAAGCAAAAAACATGCCCTGCTGAAGGAACTTCAGACAATTTATGAAGCATCCAGGGAGATTACGTTCTCCATGTTATGCTAGAATCTCAGCGATGTCTTAAATCAATTCAACCGAGCAAACTTTGCTGTATAGCTTGTGTGTGTGCGCTTGAATCTTTCACTAGAAATCTGATTTCCCGGGCAGTGATGACAAAGCCCCAGCCTCTCCTTGCCAAGGGTATTCTTGCCTCAGCGTGGGAGTGGAGTGAGCTGGGGTTGGGGTACACGGACGTGCGGGGAGGACGGCTGAAGAAACCAACCGCTGTCAGGCTTCTCTGCTGGAATCCCCATCTTTGTTTCTGTCATGACTCTTTGGGTGTATGTGTGTATAGGAGAAAGGCGGGCACCAAAATAGAAAGTGTCAAAGCTTTGATGACAATAAGGGTAAAAACAAGGCAGAGCTTTGTTTTAAGTCCCATCGAGCCCCCTCAAGCCTGCAGGCCAGCGCACCTCCCGCCGCTGTCTTCAAAGGCAGCGCTGCTGGGGCAGGAAGCGCGCGGCTCTGGGTGCAGGTCCTCCGGGGAGAGCGCGATTTCCTCCTGCGGCCCGGAGTTATCTCCAGAGGCGCACCACGGCCTCAGAAGAGCGCGTTCTCTCCCCCCAGCCCGTCCTCCTCAACCCACCCACCTACTTCCTCCGGCTCCGTGCACACACCAGCCCAGAGCTGCCAAAAATGTCCACCCTCCGCCCCCCTCCCTAGCTAACTTCCTTCCAGCGTTTCCTGAGCTGGATGATCCTAGGATTTGTAAGACAGGAAAAAAAGGAAGGCGTGAGGGCGGGCAAGAGAGACAGGATGCTTGTTTTTCATTTTACCACAGCCGTCTGAAGGCAAGACAGCGGGCCCGGGGACACGGACCCACGGCGGCCCCTGGGCTGGCCCCTCGCCCATCGCCCCTCGCCCCTCGCTCCTCGCCCCTCGCGCTCGTCCTCTGCGGACCGTTTAGAAAAGCGGAAAGGGAGGCTCTCGCCTCCCTCGGAGGCAGAGGAAAAGGACCCGAAGACACGGCAGGAGCCTGTGAAAGTCCCTGGGACTCCAAGTGAGGAAGTGACACTCCCAAGCCAGCCGGAGCGCGGCTGCCAGCTCCGCACGGCCTCCCCACGGCGCGGCCCCGAGCGAGCCGGGTGCATCTCAGGCTCTGCTCGCTGCGCCCCGCGGGGTTCATGTGTGCTGCCCGCGCCCCCGGGCCTTGCGGACGCCCATGCGGCCCCCCAGAGCCGCGCTGCAGCCAGTGAGCTAACCGGGGAGACCATCTCACGCGCGGGGCCAAGCAGAGGGGAGGGCGAGACGGAGGGGCAACCTCTTTGGGACTAACTCATGAAGAACAAGGGTGCCAAGCAGAAGCTGAAACGAAAGGGAGCCGCCAGTGCGTTCGGCTGTGACCTGACGGAGTATCTGGAAAATTCGGGACAGGATGGTAACGTGCCTTCGCCTTTTTTTCTCCCTTTTCGTTTGACGGAGAGATGGACTCTCCTGGGGTGTGTTAGATTCATTTCACGAGTTAAGGAATTCCAGGCCTGTGCGTTCATGATGTACATATTTTTAAAGAACGTACATGATTCTTAGGGTGCCTAGCGCTGCCACCCCGACGTGCGGCGGCTGGGTCAGCCCTTCCGTTTGTCTCTCGCACAAGCCGTTACTGGGAGGTGCTGCTACGAGTTTAACCAACTACTTTGGGGGTGGGGGTGGGAGCTGGAGGGGACCAGATTCTAAACTTCGGTTATTGGAGGGGAGAATGTGGGATGGGGATCTGGGGCTTCCCTGGGCCCATAATTATGACCGCTTTAGGTGTCCCTCCCTGCTTCCAACTTCCTTCGCTCACATCTCTTTTTACTAATGTGCTGGAAGGCGGGAGCGGGGATCTTGCCTGGGGGAGTGGTTGCAAAAACATTTTCTGCATTTCTGAACTAATGCTGAATATATATATAGAATGTCCCTCCTCCCCCCCTCCCCGCCCCCAACCCCCCAGACCCTTTACCTCATCTCTCTTTCATTTGCTGTGTCAGACAAGAGGACTGTAAAAAGGTCACAGGGCTCGATTTTAAAATAGTTTGGGCTATGGAAAAAGAAAAGGAGGGCGTTCCTGTTTTCAAGGTCAGATTGAAAAAAGAAGGGGGGGCGGTCCCAGGAAAGTAGAGACAATTTAAACATTTATTGGGGGAGGGGAAGGAAAGCAATCTAGAACACAATAACAGCGTTTGAGGTTAGACGTTTCAATCATAGGAAAGTTGGTAAAATTGAGCATTAAATGACTCCTTTTGTAAGGTTGACCGGCCCTGCCCTTATCCACGACAAAAAGGCCTTGTCTTCAGAAGCTTCAGTGAGAGAGAAAATACTCCACTATACGTGCCCTATGTTTATACACAGAGAGCTACAACAAAGAGGGAAACTTCAGTGTTGTTTAACTACGCAGAGTAATTCTGCCTCCAGGAAAATAATCTCAAAAACGATTTGATTAGTCCCTATCAAATGTGCATCTCCAAAGAGTGCAATGCTGGTGTTTCGCTTCTGTTTTTTTAAGAGACTCCGCACCACCTAGTAATTTGTAGTCCTGTGATATTCCTGTGGTATTCCAGAGTTCAGAGCCTGCTGTGTCATTGGGACAAATGGCTTAGTATTTTTGAGCTTGGAGGACCACAGGTTTCAAAACTGCCTCTTTTGAAACTGAGGCATAACTGAGTCAATTCATTTAATCCTCACCAACAATCTTGAGTGGTAGATTTGAAATAAAATTGCTTTGATTTTTTTTTTTTTTTTTTTGTATTGGAGAGAAGTCCAACCACTACCCTAAGAAGTTCAGAATCAAATGCTTTCCTTCACCTGTTTTTGCAGGGGCCTTCAGGTCAAGGTCCGGGTACCGTATGACTGCCGCCTGGATGCCAGCTTCCCCATGGGTATTACTCTGTATCGCGCCTCCAAGGCTGAGAGAGTTGCATGGGGGGTGCTTGCCAGCCCTGCCCCATTGTTACAGCATCATAGGTCACAGAATGCTCTGGGAAATTCGGGGTTCTGTGCAGATAGCTCAAAGGCAGCTTTTTGCAGCTCTTCTTTCACCTACATTTTGATATTGTGGTCTTCTGCGTAGGTTTCATTTGGAATAAAGGGAGGGGAGCTCCTGCTTAAAGAAAATAAATTGAAAGCCAATACTTGGTGCTACCCACCTTGGGAAGGAGGAGAGGAAATCCAGAGAGGTAAATTAACCTGCCTAAGGATGTACAGCTGATCAGGAAGGATACTGAGGGCCTTGGCCTGGTAGGCAACTCTCTCCCTGGCTTCCTTGTCTGAGCCAACATTCTCCTCTAATGATTTTTTTCTCCTAAATTGAAAGCAGACAGTCCTGCCACAGGATCAGTAAACTTTCAAGACTGAACATACCTGAGTAGAATTCAGTTTTGAAACGGAAGAAAACTGACCCACTTAATGACCCGCATACCGTTACTGTGCTGCATAGAAATTAGGCACACATACTAAGCAGCTTATATAAAGGAGAGTAATTGGGATTTTTTTTCACCCACGGCTAAAACTAGTTGGATAGTTTTCTCTTAGTTTTGTTATAGTGAACATCAATAGACAAAGTCAGTGCTAAGGGTTTTCTCTAAAACAATGGATCCTGGCCATGAACTTTCCCAAGCTCCTATTGGTTAATGGACAGGACCTGGGCTTTGCTTCCAGGGAGATAAAGCCAACCTGAGCACTGCCCCTTAGCCCACCACCTTGGAAGATCAGCCTAGAATCCTGAGGCTAATGAGTTAGCGTGGTAACTAGGAGCCAAGGCTGGGGAGGACCTTGCAAGACTGACATTGTGGTTACTAAATTTTAGGGAACAAGGGCAGGGCAGTGAACCTGGGTAGAGACAGAGAAAAATGGATTCAGATCTGGGAGCATCAGGACAGAGGGAGGAGCAGAGATGTAGGGAAGCTGTAAAAATGTTGTGGTGTCCTCAGAGGTCCTCTAACTTCATGACAGAGAGAGAGAGAGAGAATCACCATCAACATTAGCCCAAGGCTGATTCCTATGAAGCGAAGGTCAGACATACCTCTACCCTCCCACTTTTTTCCCAATTCTCACACCAGCCATCCCTCCCATGGCACTCTCTACTCCTCTGCTGGGTTCGATAATAATTTGTTGCAATGGCCACACAAAACTCACAGACAATAATCACAGTTATGGGGTTTATTAGGGAAGTAACAGGTTACAATTCAGAATTAGGAATGACTCAGGATACAGTTCTTCAATCAGGGCAGCTTGTTCTCAGCTATACCTGCAGGCAGGCCTCTCTCTGGCCCTTGGCCCCTTGGCCCGGCCTCTGCCCTGCTCAGGCAAGTGTTACAAAGCTCCGCCAGTAAGTGCCCAGAGGCACCCAACTCCACCAGGAAGCCTCCTGCCCCAAGGCACTCACCTCTCTTGCTCTGTGGATCAGCACACCCACTGTAGCTACCTTGTTCCGTGGGCCAGGAAGCCCACCATGCCATCTTGTGCCGGTCTCCTGGTTCTGCTGCCATTTCTCTGCCACTGCTTCTCACCATCTTGTGCCATCTTGGATGGTACACCTCTCTCTGTCTCCTGGGTCTAGAGGTTCTCAGCACAGGGACCCCAGGTCCAAAGGATGCACTGTGTTCCCGTCTCTTCTTCTTGGTGTTAGTGAAGTCCCCCCTTCTGCTCTGGGATGGCTCATTTTAAGCCTAGCAGGATGAAAACACTGACAATTCCCTTCATTAGGGTTCCATGCACCTTATTTGCATAGTCCCACCAAACCACTGTAGGAGTTACAAGATCATGTCGAGAAAGGCCTTCTAGAAGCAATCCATTGCACTGCAGAAGAAAAGAGGGCCCCCTGGCTTGGATAGGGAGGGAAAGCCCAAATCTGGAGAGGAGGACAAAGCTGGTGACAATTAGCTGTGCTCAGGCCACCTGGACATTGGGAAGCTACACCCTTGAGGGGGAATTCTGGGCAGACAGAGGCTGAACATGAAGAATGTATGTTACCCCCTTCTGTAATTTGTTGAGGTCCATCCCTGCAACGTTCACTTGGACACATCTGGTGGGGTAGGGGGTGTGGGTGGCAAAAAAGGTATGCAGTTTAGGGTTGACATTGCCCAGAGCCAGGTGTCCTTAATCTTTAGGAAGCTGATGAAAATTGGGAACCCTTTCCCTTAGAAAAATGCACACACAGAAATTGTGAAAACACTTTCTGCAGGCATCCACATAGATACCAAGTTCAGACCCTCCTCTGGTCATACTCAGCGTCATACAGGCCTGATGTGAAGGGCTCATTTCCCCTTCTATTTCTTTGACCTCTTTTCTCCAGCCTGGTCAGAACACCCAAAAATGGCATGAAGTCACTCCTGGCAGAGTTAGTAGGAGCCTCTTTCCCTTACCCTCCAGCGGACTGATTGCTGCCCTCAACCCCCAGCTCTCCCCTAGGAATCAGATCACTTTCTCTTCTGTCTGGAAGAGAGGGAGATCATCCCCTTCCTCACTGCTGATGCTGAAAATAGTATAGTTTTCTTTTTCTTCTTTTTGACCACTGAATATTGAAGGCCTTTGCTTGTAACTATGTAGTAAAAACCACATCGTTTTGTCGTCTGTGGTTGGGAGGCTGTGGGTAAAGCCCTGAGAGCCAGAGTGCATCTATGAACATTTTTTCTTACCTCTTCCAGTCTCCTCCATGAACTCAATGTTCTGGATCTTCCAGCAGTGCTTGGAGATCCTGGGGCTTAGGAGTCAAGGGACATGTATGAGAGAATTACCAAGAAAACTACCTTTTTCCTCCATTCTGGCCCCACTTTAAGGGCTGAGGATGTCCTCACCCTTCTGAACAATCTTTGTCCATTTTACTCATTCCCTGGTAAAAGGGGCATTGCTCTGGCCCAGTGGTTCTCCCAATGGCTGCACATTGGACTCACCTGGAGAGCTTCAAAAAAAAGAGTCGATGCTCAGGCCCCTTCTCAGACCAATGAAATCAGAAACTTTTGGTGTCCAGGCCTGGGTATGTTTTAAAAGCTTTCTAGATGATTGTGATAATGCAGGCAGGGTTGAGAACCGCTGCCCGCAATGCAGGGTTTAGCAGTCTTGATCCTTCAGAATGCACCCTCTGAAGGTTTGAAAAGAACTGTGAGCCTTTTCATGCCTGAAGATGTTTTTTGAGTACTCACTAGAGCAGCAAAACAAACAAGTGTATGATTTGAGGAATGATAAAAGGTTCATAACAAATAAATGAATGACCATTACAAATATAATTTTAAGCTTGACAAGAGTAAAACAGCTCCAGTATTTCAAAGAACAAGGGTAATTTGATGGGAACTTTTAGAGGTAGCTTTTATACATTTCTGAGGCTAAATCATTGCCTCGTTTTGTTTATTCATTTATCTTACAAATGTTTATTGAGGCACAATGCTAGGTACTGTTGGAGAAAGA